CAACTGATTTTTGTATGTTGATCTTGTATCCTGCTACTTTGCTGAATTGGTCAACTATGTCCAATAGTTTTCTTGCTGAGTCTTTAGGGTTTTCAGGTATACTACATCTCTCTGATTCTTAAGAGCTGATTGAGAAGAATGTGACCTAAATCAGATGCACCTTGGTCTTCAAAGAGACATCTTTGCTCTTCAGCATTTTGGAGAGGCCACTGACAGTGTACTTCCCTGATGCAGTGGTTCTCCTGATTTCCTGACTGCTGCTTTTGTCAGAAAGCTGAATATGGAAATCCCATATGACTCAGCTATTCCACTGGTAGGAATATACCCCAAGATTATTAGAACTGAGATACAGTTATATATGGCTCTTCTCCCCACAAGAATAAGAGCTCTCCAAGCAGTAACATTTGAGAATTTTAAAAATTATTTTTATTTGATTGTGCTGTATTGTCTTTGTTGATAACTTCTTAGATATTTTGTTACAACTGCAATAACTGGTTTCCTGAGCTCATCTTGTTTTTTGGGTTTTTTTGTATGGGAGTATTATGCTCTCTCATTGCTATTGAGCCAACTCATAGCTGATGCTGTACATATTTTCAAGGCTGTAAATGACACAGGAAAGAGACTGCCTGTATTTTTCCCAAGGCACAGGTGCTGGATTCAAACTTCACAAAAGCATGGCTTTTGTTATTAGGATATGGATTAGGCCCACAGAGCACTCTCAGACTGTTGTTATTAGGTGCATAGCTTCTAAAAATGCTCTATATTTAGTTGGTAAGTTTTGAACCCATTGCAGTCATGAGCCTTATTTAGATTACAATTCACGCATATTATTAATACTAATCATTCTTTATAAATCATTCCTGAAAATGTTAATACTTTCTGGATATTTGATAAAAATAAGGAATTCTTTTACTCGATATGATACTTGCATTACAGTGTTTTTTTTTTTGCTGTAACATGGGTGGATTTATTTCTTATACAGTTATTTTTTAAAAAGAAGAATCTTATCTTTTGGAAATACACATATAAAAATTTACATGTGATATACGATTCCTGGTGTTTGCTTCAAAATAATTTGTGTAGTGGGCAGAAAATGAATTGGGTAGGAATATCGATAAAGCATATTATCTATGTATTTTTGATGATTGCTAGATCTCAGGAGCACCTCAAGTCTGCTATGCAGTTCTCCTTTATACTGATAGATGATTTTTGAAATGTGACCCCTTTTCATATAGTTTTATTTGATTTAGTTTCAAGACTTGTATAAACAATACTTTTCTACATATTCATGTCAATAACTTCACATTTAAATGAAGTGTACAAAAAACTATTATATTAGTGTTTTTATAAGGGATGATGTATTTCTGTATGCTTTTTCTTATTAATTACCTTAGGAATTTATTCGGTACTTGTGGCCCTGATGGCTGGGAAGGCAGAAATAAGATATAATCCTGCTGTTATGCAGCCCCTGATGATAGCAGAGTTCATCCAAGAGCTTGGATTTGGAGCCACAGTGATAGAAAATGCTGATGAAAGGGATGGTGTTTTGGAACTTGTTGTAAGTAAAAACCAACTATTTTACTGTGATTTGAGTGAAAGTTTACACCACAAATTGCTTTTCTATGCTTACACTTTTTTTATGACATTACAATACCCAATTTTAATTTTCCTGTATCCTTCTAATTTTCATTTCTGTTTTTTTTTTTACTTTATTATTATTTTTGTGTGCGTGTACCGTCAAATCAGATCTGACTGGTACAGGAGGAGATTGCCCCTCCTTCCCCGGCAGAGCATCTGGTGGATTCGAACCGTGCACCTCTGGGATTGTAGTTGCACCTTCTTGCCACTATGCCACCAGAGCTCCCCATAATTTTCATTTCTGTTTATCCTTCTGTCCTACCCTTTTCTGCCTTCTGGGATTTAATGTTTGGCAAATACTCTTCTTATTTGGTTGGTTAGGCTAAGAAATGTATGCCTTTGTGGTGGTTCTAGTGTTTACCTTAAAGGCCTATCAATTGTTTGGCTGAATATTGAGGTAGAGGAGTAACTTTGCTTTCAGGTTTGAAGCATGATTGAGAATCATGGTCTTGGGGTCTCTATCAGTCTCTATTAATACAGTAAGGCGGGCCATTTTATATTTTTCAGTTTTGCTTCCTATTTCTATCATTCTATCAAGGATTTTCTACTGTGATCCGTTTTTAGAGTAGTTAATAGTAGTAGCTCTGTACCACCTAGTCTGATCTGTGTCATGGAAGTGGAGATTGTTGTGGTTCATTAGTCTTTCTTTCCCCAATCTCATCCATGCCTGTCCTATATTATAACAGCAGTGTATTGCAGTATTTGTCCTTCATATTTTTTTATTATTTTTTGGAAGACAGTCCTCAGAATGTGAGAAGAAATTACAAAATCATATATCTCATGAGGATCTAAGGTCAGGGAAGGTGTTTGTAAGAGATTCCTCAGCCACTAATTGGCAGACTTAGGATTTGAACCCAGGTCTGTGGGACCTTAAAAGTTTTGCTTTCCTGTTTAATTTTTTTCCTGCTAAAGACCTTTATTTTCTCCTGTCTTCTTTATTCTGGATTTAGAGAGACAAATAATTTTACCCTTAATGACTGCTCTCAGGCTTTTAAGAGCCACTCTCCATTCACCAAAGTAGGATTTAAAATACTGTTTAAATGGATTATATACCAGTTGACTTTGTTGTTCTTCAGTAGTATTTGGTTTTGATTGTTGTTGTTATGTGCTTTTGAGTCACTTTTGACTTATAGTGACCCTATATACAATAGCCCATTAAAACTACTCTAAAACTGCGCAGAATCCGTTCCTCAGGTCGCGTAGAGGGGGTATAAAGAAACTTTGACTGGCGGAGAAGTTGAACAACTAAAGGATCTATAAAACTCCCTGCCCATTTCCCAGGTAACATTGAAGACCCCAAAACCACGCGAAATCCTGTCTACACACCACTTCTACAGGACACATCACCTTCACTTGGGAAACATTACCACTAAACTTCAGAGACACTGGTCACAACATAAGAAACTACCAGCAGCTGACATGTTTGGAATCACAGAAGCCAAGGAAGCTTCAGATATAAGCTATCAGATCAAGGGCTGGTCAATGGGAGATAGATGTGAAGGGAGTGGGTAGAAGTGGATGGGTATCCTGGTGGATTGT